GATCTCGAAAGTACGGGTATTTTGGTGTACATGAAGGTGATGGGCGAGAGCCAGCTCCTGCTTATCGAGGAACATCTTGGGTATCTTCCGCCCTGGTACTCGTATCCACGTCTTCTCTCTGGGCTGCGAAAACTTTACTGATATGTGACTCGGCCAAAGTGTCTTTTTTTGCCCCCCCCCCCTGTATAGAAACCACTAATCTACTATCTGTGATGGCGAATGATCGCGGACTTTGCCTTCAAGGAAAAAATGAAAAAGACTGAGAAAAGTCGACAACCGAAAACATTTTTTCCCAAATGCAAATACAATACCTTCCGTTCAGCGACCAGATACGATCCCAGCGATGCGCCTCTTCATTTCCTGCTGTAGACTGTTCTGAATGGAAACGCGAAGAGTCAAGCAGACGGTTGAGGTTATAAATCGCTAGCCTTTAGGCTCTGTAGAGCCACGAGATATTGTACAAATTGTTCTGACGAGAGCCAACACCCATTGGGTCACCTGAAAGAATTATTACCACCTAATAGCGCAGCGGCCTCTTCTTGACTAATTTTTCACCGTATGAAAGAACGTTCTGGATCATTTTTAGGTCGTTTCGGTGTATAAGTTGCCATCCAACCTTGCGACTACTGCCGTAATTGACTATTTTGCTCCATCCGAATGGCAATTACTTGGTGCCCAATAGTTGGATGTCTGACCCTTTTGGTGTTGTGGGAACGCGTAATTGGAGGCTTTCCCTTTAAGATCTCCCTGCCCGTCCACACTGGTTTCAGCCCCGAGCGAAAAAGTGCACGTGATCAAAATTGAGAAATCGGAATCGAGCGCTGCAGCCTTTCACTCCATCACACTTCAATTTAATTGAACACATTGATCGCGCTCTATCGACAACTAATCATCCTGAATGTGATGCTGAGGAGCATGACCACTCGGTGACTTTGGAATTGTAAGCTTTTCACCACAGCATCGATCAGACCAATCGGTCCCATCAATAAATTGTCAGTACTAGACGCCTTCTGCGACGATTAATCGAATCAGAGGAACCACTAAACCTGGAGAGTTGCTCTCAGGCTCACTCAAATCTTTGCATTGGCAGCACTTCGGAAAAATATTCCGATTATTCGTAAGAACGAGGTACCGTGTGAGGGAAGGTAGGTGAGCCGCAATGGTCAACCTCGTACCTAGTTCCGCTCCAGAAAGTTCTAAGGCAAGAGCGATAGGGCGTAAGCAGCTTGTTCATGTAACTCAACCCGAGCGGACGTCTTTGCGCCCCTCACTGGTGTATGTGTTCTTGCTCGTTCCTGCGCTCTCTCGCCCCTCTTGTCTAATCTCTCCCGCAAAATCCCAACAAGCCTTCGTCTTTCGCCAGTGGCCAACTTCTACAGAGACACGCCATTCAAACCGTTTTGACGGTTTCCTCTAATTTTTCTTGGATCAAGTCGTCCCTCCCCTCCCCCCCTATAGCGCCACCAACCACATATTTGCATCGTAGAAAATATCACTTTCACATCGACTGAGTAGATTGCTAACGGGTCTAAATAGTGTTTTACGGGACAAACAGCTCCAAATGGAGGCCTGCTCGACTTGAAAGTCTATTCACAAAAGGTCCTGATCAGATTTATTGGTTCTTAGAGAACGTTGCTGCCCTATGAACCTGTACACACCAGCTAATGGTATCCTGGAGACTCACGTCACGTGGAAGGACATCGAGCAGGACTTGCAACGTGAACTGTTCACTGCTGCCATATTCGGGCCAAATAAATCGGCGCAGGATGTTGAACATGGAAACGTGAGTGATTGTGAAAGATTTCAGCGATTTCTATGCGCAAACGCTTGGAATCCGTTCGACAAAGTGCATGATGTACCAGGGCACAGCGTCAGGTGAGATAAATGGCGGTATCAAACACGTCCTTCCCCCATCCCCAAACTTCTCCTTGGTACGGCTAACTTCCCCTGCTATTCTCCTATGGAGCGAGGAGGAGGAGGTGGAGGTAAATGTCACATATAAAACGAGAAAATCCGCGAAGTGCCAACAACCGAAAAACTTCTTTCGCGGCTCGGAAAATTTTCCGCCGACCAGATACGACCCTAGCTCCTCAGCGACCAAGAACGATCCCCTGATGAGATTCTTGCAACGGTATTGTACCCTCTCGTGTACCTCACGAATTTGTATACCTACATACTGTAGGCATGAGCGTTTTCTACCAATTCCTCACGCTCATAGGCAACTAGCTTCACCTTCTTTCACCCCCTCCCCCTTATCTTTCTCTGTAACCCACGAAATATTTTTTATATATCCACCTCTCTGAAGTTATGCTTTTTCCACTCTTTGTGGCAACCCTCAGCTTCGCGACTCGTCTCTCTTCTCTGCCTCATTCACACTCCATCCCTCTGTTCTTCTGCTTCACTATTCCTCTCGAACCTCATTTTCTCTATCCTGTTTCTGTTTTGGGTTGCAATTGACTTTTCCCTATCCCCATCTCTATCTGCACCCTCTTTCATAAGCGTTTCATACCCAATTTTCTGCGATCCTCTCTTTGTATGGCTCCCTGGTGCTTACATGCTTGTTCGCTAAGGCGTTTCAGGAGGGCTGGGTTTGGCGCGGCGCCTTTCCTTCTGATTGTAAAACCTGGCGGGCGACTACAAATGGCGGAAAACAGGCTGGCGCCGCGCCAAACATAACCCGCTAACACGCCCCAGCGTCCGCATCGAACAAGACTATGTATGCCTCTAATATTATCCTTTATTAACCCTCTACTTTGTTCCCCGTAATCACTCGTTTGTTACTCGTAATCACTCTCTTTCTAACTCTCTCTCTCTGGTGTTCTGCTTTTCTCATGCTTCA